ATACAAAAGAAAGAATCTAGTATTCTAAAATATTTTATAATAGAACAGATTATTGACAATATAACTGTTTGCAATTTTTACTTTGTTATAAATTTTGTAATAATATAAAATTTTAAGAAACTAAAAAACTAATTATATTAAAATACATTACAATTAACTATAACTGTATCTAATTATATTTAAATATAAAATTATATTATTATTAATTGTTACTATATTTAAATGATTTATTAAATTTGTATAGTTAGTTTCTTTTTTTGGTTATTAACTTTGATTTAGAAAAACATAAATTATACTAATATTTTTATCATTTGAAGATTTTAAAAAAAGTATTTTTAATAAAATATATATTATATTAATAATTATTATTATTTAAAGATTTAAAAAGAGCATTATTTTAATTATTAGCTAAGATTTTGAAGAATATAAATTACACTAATAGCTGCTATTATTTGAAGGTTTAAAAAATTTATTTTTTTGATTATTAACTATAATTTAAAAGAAAATAAATTACTTTAATATTTGCTATTATTTGAAGGTTTAAAAAAAGCAACTATATAGCATTTGTTTAGAACTTTATAGTTGAATAATAAACTAATAGTTTTTATATAATAAACTAATAGTTTTTATATAATAAACTAATAGTTTTTATAATAAATTTTTTTAAAAATTCTTTATAAAAAAAGTTTTATTGCAAAAATAATTGTATTGTTATATTAATTATTATGTGTTTGTGTTTTTAATTAATATAAATATCAGATTTGTTAATCTTTTAATATTATATTTGCATACTATACAAGTTATATTACTTTATACTCAGTTGTGACCTTATTAATTATACTAATATGTTTGCTAATTTAATATACTATACTCTGCTATTTTACAAAATTATTACTATTTATATTACTTTATACTTAGTATATAACATTTAATATTCAATTAAATTAATGCATTTTGCTATTACAAATTCTATTAAGCCCAATTAGGTCTGGTCAAAAAGCCTAAACCTAACTCAGTATTTTAGTAAACAAAACTTAAACCTAGCTTAAATAATAATGAGTTTAAAAATTTAGACCCACACTAAGCCTAAACTCAGCCTAATCTACAAATTTTCAGATTTAGTCTAGTTTATTCTGAATCTCAGTTAAAACATTATATGTCTAAATTATTTTGTTTTCTATATTATTATAGACTGTTTATATTACTATAAAGTATTCTTAATTTAAAAAGTTTATTTATACAATTTTTTAAAATATAACTTTTATTAAATTTATATAATATTTAATATAATTAATTATAAATAAAAAAAAATATTATTATAATATTATAATATATACTAAAGTATTATTCTATATACAAAATTAATATAATATATAAATCAAAATCAAAACAATTTTTTTTGTATAAAAAAGTAAAATTTAATTAAAATTAAATTAAAATTAAAATTAAAATTAAGCAAATTATAGTTATATCAAAATTTTTAAGAAAATTTTTTATTAAAATACAAAAAACAATTTTTAATTAAAAATTTAAAATATAATTAATTTTTTAAAAAGTTATTATTATTGCTATACAAAGGAACAATCTATATATTACATCTGATCTTAAATTTTAATTTTTTTTTTTTAATGTTAAGGTGAGTAATTGTAATTTAGAAGTTTATTGATAATCAGTAGACATATAACTATTGTATATAACAGCTATAGAGGCAATCATAAAAAGAATATATAACTAGTCACTTGTATAACTTTAGTCATTATCTATTTTAAGTAGTTTATTTGAAGGTTCTATACTAGTTGCTATATCTAGAACTTGTATATGGATTCTTTATTTAAACATTCTAGTTCCTATATCTATCCTTATTTTATCAACTGCAGTATTATTACAAATATATCATGTTTACTAAGTTATGTTTAACTTTATACTAAACCCATCAGAATCTTCTGTATTTCATACTTACAATTGACCTAGTACTACTCTGACTTAGGTTATCACTTACAGTCAGAACTAATCATTAAACTACTATATCCTTGTAAAGTTTACTAAAACTCTAATACCTTCCTTTTTCAATATTTTCTTCTTATTCTGAACCTATAAGATTTCTCAGACTATCATTTCAGATGACCTGATATGATATTCTAAAATTCTTTTCTTCTGATGATTTCTAGCAACCTGGTTGGTATGTACTTCTCTACACATATTGTTATTTGTTCTATTCTAGTTATTCCTTCTGAGACTTCTAATAATCCAATAACACCATCAAAAGTCTATATTACCTCTTTACTCAAGATTTTCAAATGGATTTCTGTGTTTCAGTTTCTTAAAGTTATGCACCTAATAATCTTATTGTGAGTTTGCACTGAAATCTTATACAACACCAGTTATTTAATATTCCTCTATGTATGTGTAATGTTACACTTTGCATAGATGCTCTAAGCTTCTATTTGAGATGGTGCATCTAAGATTACAGATCTTCTTCTTCCATTCAACTAATCGATGAGACACAGTTACTATAACACAGGTATAATTATTCAAATTTTGTTGTCCATGGGATTTGAATACTAGACCTGTCACTTGAGGGTTGACAACCTGTTCACTTCACTAGGTCATCACACCTCTTTTAAATTTTAATTTGTTATAATATCTTTAACTATAATGTTATAACATTATAAATTAAATTTTATAAATAAAAATTGAATTTCTTAATGAAAAATAAAGATAATATAAAAAAAAAATTATACAAGAGTACTTAAAGCCAAGCATATCTGATAGTCACCTGTTTTCTTTAACCAATAAAATCATGAAATTAAATAACTTCAATTATTTCAAAATAATATATATGTAGAAGCATGGCCTCACCATTAATATTTAAAAAAAAATAAGATATATGTAAAATGAACTCTTTGAATTGAAAACATATTATATTATATTTTAATAATTTCACGTCCGTGAAATTACATATATAAAACTGACGTATTTCACATAACTATCAATGATATGCTACATTATGATTGGTGCGTGTGACGTGTAAAGTCGGTTTATAATATATATTTTATTAAATTATATAAGCAAAATTGCTTTCTCAACTTTTTAATTAACCCATCCGAGGTAGGGTTAGACTGCCTTTTTTTGTATTTTTTCAGGTTTTTCGTTCCGCATCAAAATTCTATAATTTGATTGGTCAGTTGTCATGTGATTCTGCTCCACCAGAGATTTTAATATATTTGATATCAGTTTCAGCATTATATAAAATATCATTAAATTTAAAATATTTGATTTTATTTATTCATACATTTTGGATTAACGAAATATTTAGACATAAAATATTTTCGACACCCTAAAATATCTGAATTATTTTAGACAACCTAAATTATTTACAATTTAGGCAATCTAAAAGAATTTAGCCATTTAAATTTACACCAATGCAAAAAAAAATCTAGGCACATATTTATAGCTATGCTTATGCATTCGTTATAGCAAGATTCAACGCCAAATTGTCCATTCGAATTGCCACCTTTTGCAGATTTCAAATACCACACACAAATGCCTTTTTATCGTTCTTAATTGTGCCTATATCATTCCTGTAGCATATTCCTGCATTATATTGACTATTTAAATTATCACCTTTAGCAAATTTCAAAAACCACTAAATGCGGCATTTTCATCTTTAGTTGTGCCTATGCTATTTCTATAGCAGATTCCAACATTAAATTGCCCATTTGAATTGCCACCTTCAGCAGATTTCAAAATCCATTAAAATGTTTTTTGTTCATTGTTTGCTGCACCTATACCATTTACGTAGCAGATTCCAACGTCAAATTGACTATTTGAATTGCCACCTTCAGCGGATTTCAAAAACCACTCAAATGCTTTTTTTTTCATCTTTGCTATTCCTATACCATTTCTTTAACAAATTCAAAAACCACTCAAATGCCTTTTTTTCATCCTTGGTTGTGCCTATGCCTTTGCTATAGCAAATTCCAACATTAAATTGCCCTTTTGAATTACCGCTTTCGGCAGATTTCAAATACCATTCAAATGCCTTTTTCTCATCCTTGGCTGTGCCTATGCCTTCGTCATAACAGAATCCAACATTAAATTGTCCATTAGGATTGCCACCTTTAGCAGATTTTAAATACCATTCGAATGCCTTTCTTTCGTCTTTAGTTGTGCCTATACCATTTTTATAGCACTCTCCAACATTAAATTGTCCATCAAAATTGCCATCTTCAGCAGATTTCAAATATAACTCAAATTTATTCTTTTTATCCATAGAATCTATTTAATTGAGAAAAAATATACAAAATAATAGTCTTACACATTTAGAATAATTAAAGTTTAGAAAAAAACGGTGTTGCAACGCATATAAAATCTCTAAGCTTACCCTTATCAAATGTTAATAGCAAAAATGTGGGCGACTATATTAGGTTTCTCGAATGGGACGTATTAAAATTTGGCTTGATTCTTCGATTGAGCTCTATATTACGTTACGAGTAGTGATCGAAATTTAAGTTTAAATACTTTCTCACTAGAACGGTATATTGGTTAATAATGATTTTACATAAATTATTATAAGGTAAAAGGGATATTATGGCGCAGGACCAGTTATGACGTATCTGGGATTTGGTGGCCAGAATCGTATGATTTGTCACCATTAAATTTGCCTTATAGAGACAAATCAAATGTTAGTAAAATCATTCGATTCCGATCACTGAATCCCATTATATCGCAAGTGCGTCATAATATCCCCTTTAGCTTTGTATAGTATTCGAATGTTCGTATCTCGTGACCCTGTGATTAGAATCGAACGATTTTGGACCATTTAATTAGTCTTAATGAGACAAATCAAATGGCATATAAATCATTCGGTCTAAATTAATGGTTCATGAGTTACGCAAGTTTTTTTTCTTAATTGCGTCATAATACCATCTTTCTACTTTATGTTTCTAATAGAGAATAAGAAATATACATAAAAAAAATAAAATTCGATAATCTAAACGCTATCCAGCTATAACTGGGAAAACAGGCACCGTTGGAGTATGGAACCTGACACGATAGCCATTGGATGCTACCTCTGGCATGCCAAAGCGTTTAAAGCTCATTATGCCTTTATTATAAATTATTACCACTTTATTTTCATGTAATCTGATTGTGTATAGGAATTTTAATAATATACGAAAATCATTTTTTATTATACATATAATATATGGCATGCAATTGCCTAAATGGCATTCCAAATGATTCTAGGCGTCTATTACTAAAGGGACAAATAACGGAGTTTGACAAAGAATCGCCTACAACAATGATATGGTTGACATTAAAAATTACCGAGTTGCGGCATTGATTTCACATTTATTTATATTGTTAATAGGGACAATTAAGTTTGACATCAGCTTATTATTTTTAATATGATAAGGTGATCCGTATATATACTCTGCCTCAATTGTGTAACGATCTGGAACACGAGTGATTTTTCCATATTTGGTCTAAGATATCCAAAATCCCGAAACCTAATTATCACGTGAAATCGGGTCCGCTTTTGATTAGTAATATCCGTGAGTAATCAAAAGCGGGACTTGAATATTGGAACCCGACATCACACACACGATAATAGAACCATTCATTCTACAAGGCTTTAACACATTCTCATATTTGAAGGTCTCTTAAAGCCAAGTAAATCACAAGATATTCCGATGCCTATGACCAATCAAAATCGCAAAATTTTACATGTAATATTTTTTACACAGGCTCTAAACTCTAATATTGCAAAAATAGTAATTTTACAATGTATTTGGCTTTAAGCTACCCTCATACTTGGTTTCTCTGTACTTAATTTGACTATTTTAATGTTTGCTAGCATAGTTAAAAATCTATCTGATTAATTATTAATTTTTGAAATTTTATTAACTGCCTATGGTAGTAATCTGAACTAAGCAAAAAATTATCAACTGATTAACTGACCTGAACTTAATTAAGTACAATAAATTATATTAAAAGTGTTTTAGTCAACTTGGTTAACTGTTTAACTGGCAAATATTTAGTAAATTAATTTTTTGTCAAATATTCAAAAATTTATAAAAACAGTTGTAATTGTTTTGCAGATTATTATAACAAATAACAATAATATCAATGTTATTAAATTTTTTTTATAATTATATTAATTAATTATAACAGATTAATCAATTATATTAGATTACTTAATATTATCAAATTAACTAATTATGTTAAATTAACTAATTATATTAGGATTATTTTGAATTAATTAATAATTTTAAGTTAGTTAATTTAACATTTTACTTCACTAGTTAATCTAATTTTTTTAGTTTAGTTTAATTATCTAATTAAGACTTAACTAGTTTAGATTACTAGTCTATAATAAACATTTTATTTTTTTATTTTTAATTGTTAAGGTAATCTCTATGGTCTTTTGATTTTTATTAATAACTTTTAGAATAATGTGATTATATAAACTATTACAAAAAGAGTGTACAATTGGTTATACATGTATTTTTATTATATTACTTATTTAAGAAGGTTCTTTACCAATTGTTATATTTATTATTCTTGCTTGAATGTTTCATTTTAAACTCTTTGAACCTGCATTTGTATTAACATTACTGGGTTATATTTAGGTTATTGTTTTAACCTTAGAATTATTTTATTCTTAAGATAAACCTTCCAGAACCTTATATTTATTTTTATAGCTAATCTAATATTACTATGATAGAACTAATACTTGCAATTAGAACTAGTTATTAAACTGCTGTGCTCTTGTAAAATTTACTTAAATTTTAGCATCTACTTTACAGCATATTCAAATTATTTTAGTATATTTCTGTCTGTTTTTCAAACTTCTAATTCAGATAGTCTAATAGAACTATGATCAATCATTAGTATATTAGGTTAGCCTAATATCTTTTTTTTAATTTATTTCAGTATCCTGGTTAATAATACCTTTAAGACTTCTAATTCAGAAATTCTTATCTGTTTGAGTAGGTATTTTGATATTAGTATCTGTTTTCTAAAACTAATTTTTACAATAGCACTATTGAAGATTTGTATTATTTTTTTACTCAGGTTTTCTCAAATAGACTTCTTATTTTACAATTTTAATAAATTTATATGATTATAAAGACTTATTTAAAGTTTATATTATCTGATATTAGTTTATATTTCTTTATATAATATTATATTTATACAAATATTCTATAATCTGTTAGTTATATTGATATGATTGCTATTACAAGTATCTTAATCTAATCATTGGAAATAATTATTATAATATAAATATTATATAGATAATTATTCAATTTTTTACTATTAATAGAATTTGAACACCCATCTTACTACTTAGAGGATTGACAATTTATTCACTTTACTAAGTTGTTACATTTCTAATAAACATTTTATATAAAATTATAATTAATCATATATTAAGTTTTTTATTTATTTTTTTTAATATTAATGTAAGTACTTAATTTAAAGTTTTATTAATAGTATATTTAATTAATAGTTGCATTACAACTATAGAAAACAATTATAAAAAAAGTATATAACTAGTTA